TGTTTGTCATACAATGTAGGTCCCATTAGCAGTTAATTGTAATCATTTCTAAGGATTACAACCATGGTGTGGTTTTGTTCATTACATCGAAAACCAAGCCACAAAATAAAAAGTTAATTACAAGGGTAACTATAATTTTTCATTATGTTTTAAAATTGTAACTATATATATTGGCTAACATCTATTTTTATTTCAATTAATTAGAATCGTGTCTGGAACTAATATTTTACGTAGAAGAACCAGATCAAAGACATTGCACTTCATATACCCTAAGGTTAGCAAATTATTTAATAGAGACAATAATATTTGAATTTATCGACTTTAGGAATAATATTGTTATTTGTTTCTCATTTTAGTGTAATAAGCAACAAGACCTATTTGAATGTGGCTATTACATCATGTATTGGATGAGAGTCATAGTTTTTGCGGGTATTACTGATTCGTGGGGTAGGTAATTCATATCAAAATTTATTTAAGTATATTTACCTTTATGATAATTAACATTGCATATTAATGACACTTAAATTAATGTCTCAGGTCTTTCTAGATTCATCTCTGTTGCCCGAAGATGAAATCACAGAGATAAGAGAACAATGGGCAACTTTTGTACTTAAGCTATATGATAGTTACATTTCTAAGTTTAATTAGTTAGTTGGATATTATGTTTATAGTTTCATAGCATTCACAAACTTAGGTTATATAGCTTTTAATTATATTTGAATTTGTATTCTAGATTGCCTGGGTTAGCTATACTACTTGATTTTGTATTTTAGACTGTATATGCAGGTTATGGGTGTGTCAAAAAGTAAAGCAAATCTAAAAAAAAATGCATAAATTTACATCAGACATGGTACAGTCCGACGTAAATATTTTTCTTGTTTTTACAACTTTTTTACATTGGTATTCAAAAATCTCCAACGTAATATTATGTCGGCTTTTAAACCCAATATAAATTTATGTTTCCCGCATTTACGTCGGACTTTTTTCTAACATTAAAATCTCAAAATAACAAACATAAAATACGTCGGTATTACCACCAATTTAGAATAAGACTTATAAAATTAATAACAAAAAGTTTTATAAGTTTAAATCTGTTGTATTGCACTCAATTTTAAAAAGTACCTTCAAAATTGATTTTCTTTTTCCAACTGATTTTGAAAGCAATTTTTCCACCGTTTCTTCGAACTTGGTTATTTTTCAATCGATTTTAATGGTGTTAATTTTCACTAAATGCGATTTTGCCAATGGTTCTTTGAAATCGGTTATTTTTTCAACCGATTTTAAAGGTGTTTGCAATGATTACTATTTTTCCACCGCTTCTTCGAAATCAATTTTTTTTCAATCCATTTTGAAGGTATTTCCAGTAATTGCGAGTTTGCCACCACTTCATATGCTTTTTCTAGCTAGTGAATGCCGTTGACATGTATAGAACATTTTGTTTTTGTCCAGAGTAAATCAATTTATTTTTTGGATTTGGGGATTAGGAGGACAAATATTATTTTTAGGGAATATAGTTCTCCCAATTCTTGCACGTGGACCTTTCTTGTTCCTCGTACATGGCTACCACTGTTGCATGCAGTTTTATCGCCATCAGACACAATTAGGATGTGGTGAGGGATTAGTAGTTCATTCAATTGAGATCCGAGTTCCTTAGCTGTAATCACATGCAAGTTATAAGATCCAAAACATACTTAACTTTCTAGCGACTAATTCCATGCTAATTATCTCCTCCTTTAAGCTCTCAGACTTAATTTTATAGCCACTAATCCCACGTTATCTCCGACTTTAAGCCTTTCAACTTATTAATAATAATAAAATAATAATAATAATAATAATAATAATATTATTATTATTATTATTATTATTATTATTATTTCTTTTTGGCCACTAATCCCATGTTATGTGCCCTGCTTTAACCCCAACATCTTAATATAGTGACAAACTCCCATGTCATCTCATTGAAGACATTCAAAAAAGATAAATCCTGGTTTAAGCCAACCCAAAATTTATCTTCCGCTCGTTTTTATTTTTATATTTTATTTTTTTTAATGAAGGTATAGCTTTTTCTTATCGAATTGGCTTCAATGTAGGGTAAAGTTTTTATTTGACGCTCCGTATATAAAATGTAGATGGAAGTTTGATTCTTAATTAAGAAATATAAATATTAAATTATTCAAAATAATAACTTATTTTAAACCTTTAACTAGGAACTTTATTCTTACTTAAGAAATATAAATATTAAATAATTTGAAATAACAACTTATTTTAAGCCTTTAACTAGGAGTTTCGATCGTTTGACTCTTTCATGTTTTGTAAAATAAAAACAGCAAACTTCTGACGCAGTGGTGGCAATTTTAGAAAATGATAAATATGTGTATATACATTTTTTTTATCCTTCTAATTCTATATATTTGAAGCCATTAATTTCCCATTTGTTATTTTGTTATCAGATTTTTGTCTTTCATCCATTAACATTTTTTTTATTTTTTATTTCATTTCATTTTACATTTCATGATAATAATAATAATTTTTTATTTTTTTAAAATAATTTGTTCTCATTAACTTAAAATTCTTGATGCAGGATGTATTATCTATATCGATTTTGCGAGGTAATTTACATCGGTTCTAAAATCGATATAGAATAGGACAACTTTTAAATACATACTTTTACATCAGTTTTGCTGACAACCGATATGTAAATTTGCATTTTTTTTAAAAAAAACTTCATTTATTTTTTAGATTCTTTCTGATTACCCGTAATAAATATATATATATATATCAAACATAAATTGTATGGTACTAATTAACGTTATCTGAAAGCAAGCATATTAGAAGTTAGTTTAGACTTAATCCCAAAAACTAGTTCATAAGATAAAGATTGTTTTCATTTATATATTATTTTAAACATGTCACTAATTACCGTGATGTCCAACCAAATCATGTTTAGGGTGCAAATATACAAAATAATGAAAAGTAACAGGGTCCATGGGTCAGAGAAAGATATTTAAGAAATACTATATGTTGGATTTTTTTTAATCTATTATAAGGAGTACAGTTATTCCAAACTTTCTAATAAATATTTAATTTATATTCTTCATAAATATTTTATAATATTATTCTCTCTATTGTATTATTTATCTTAATTGTCACACATCTTTTTTCTTTCTTTCATTTTTCAATAAAATGATGAATAAATTTGTTTCATAACTATCATTATCATTTCTCATAAATATTGATGGACACGGAAATGAATTAAGTATATAAACTCACTGATCAAGTAAAACTATAAATTCTTCTGCAATTGTGAATTTGTTTCTATATATATATATATGGGTTGAATGAGTCATGAGTCACGGCAATAGAAAAATAGACAAAATGAGAAAAGAGTTGTCTGATAGAAGACAATTCCAACCGGACAAAAGAAAATTAAAGATCTTTCAAAATAATGTTAAACTGGATTTCAACCGAAGACAGAAGTGAAACCAAACAGAAGTGCAAAAAGATAAGATCTTTTATAAATTATCAGTGTTATAGAAGTATCATTGCCACCAATAGTTAAATTTTTATAAGAAACTGAGTAGCTAGGACATATTTTTTCTCCTCACTCCCGCCCATTTTCATTTTGCAATGTATTAGACAACTACTTAGTTATTTAACCACACATCTCCACGTGCTTATATGCTCTCTTCAAGGAAACCATGAAGTCAACTAACTTCTTATCATTAATTTAGTGTCCCAGTGCCAGTGAACTACCTTATCATTAATTGGACAGAAGAAACCACATGAGAATACCAAAATAAGCAGCTCATAGCATTATAATCTTTAGAAATTTATCAGTTATGTGGATTCATCCTCTGGTTCTACCATGTCATCAATTCCAATGTTCAAGATCAGCTCTTAAAAGATTTAGTCATAAATTTTTGGTAATTCCATGAATACTATTTCATCGTGGAATCAGGTATTGAGTTACATCCCACTAGCACCTGGTATTTTCTTAACGCCCAGAAAACAAGATAATCTTCATTTCCTTTGTAATACTTATATGTTAGATATGCAATAAATGATCTGACTATATGCATTGATCTTTCCACAAATTGCTTCGATCAAGTCCAATTAGACACTATTGGCATATCCATTACTTCAGGAACACCAATATAAAGCCTAAAAGTAGAGTTGTCAAAATGGATTTAGCTCGGTGAGCCAACCCGGCCTACCACGGGTTCGAGTCGGGTTGGGCTAAAAAAAATTGAAATTTTCAGTACGGGCCAATTTTGAACCCGGCTCACTAACAACCTAGCTCACCCGGGTTGAACCTGTGGTGAGCCAGGCTGACCCACCAACCCGTAATAAAAAAAAAAAAACTTATAATCTTATTGGGCCAAATTTAATTAAAAAAATATTAAATATATCCTTATTGTTTTGTTAAGCCTAAAGGATGAGATATGAACTGGACTTCGGAAACAGAAAGATGTTGCAACTAGCATTCATACCTACCTGGGCCAACACTTCTTGGAAGGGCTATTTAAAGATCCTAACGTAAGAGGGCCTAACCCATTATTTACGGACAGGGTAATCAAAAGGCCCAAAACATAAGTAGCCCAAAGGTCCTGATCAGATAAGCCTTCTGCTTCACATAAGCCTAGTATAATGAAATGAAGATTAAGATTGTAGAATTGGATGAGACTACTGTAAAGAAATAATCAAATATCATTTAATTATGGATATCTTAATTAAGAGTTTTAGATTTTTAAAATAGGTTTGAGTTTTTTGGGTATTAAAAAAAATTACATTTTTTTTAAAATTAGGTGAGCCAACCCGTTTAACCCACCAACCCGTGGTGGGCCGGGCCGGGTTCAATTTTTTTGAACTCACTAATAAATGAGACGGGTTGGGTTGACTCACCAAATGCTCAACCCGTGGTGGGCCGGGCCGGGTTACCCGTTTTGACAGCTCTACCTAAAAGCAATACATGAATGAAGCCATATTTCTAAATCACAATGGAAAAATCAATCTATAATTACTATATTCAGTGTAATACAACTCTCATATGTAAGAACCATATGGAGTAAAATCATTGCACATCGCAACAACAATACTCACCAAGTTATCCAACATTCAACATGTAAAATAACACTTAATTCTAAATTACAGTCCACAACAACAATTAAGCGTGATTAATCCAGTTTCCACAATCAAGGCCATAATCTAAAACCAAGATACATATATTCGAAAAAGACCCATTATTTACCTTTGGTCTCCTCTAAGGATGCTAAACTCTTGTCATCCATGGTCCCAACCTTGTCACCTGGTTTAAGTTCTCCATTCTTTTCAGCCCCATGAATCCCTTTTTCTGGACCTCCCGCATTCACCCTGTGGCCAAAAGACTCTACACTAGAATTATAACCTTCCTTGGCAACCTCAAACCTGTGCACTTGCCTAAACCCCGAACCAAACTTCCTAAACTCCTTATTGCCAGCCTTTGTCGAATCTACAACCCTATGCTGCCTCCTCGATGCCACTTGCTGCAGTGCTTAGACCACATCAGACACAGAATAGTACTGCTGCATTAGCAACACCGGAGTCCAATTACACCTCCTCTACATGCTATATACAAATATAAAATAAAAGTTATATATATGAGTTACTTCCTTAAAAAATAGACAACAAGACAGGCTTAAAATAGATAAATAACCCTAAAAGCATTAGTTTCAAAGTGTAAGCATTTTCCAACAAACATCCAAAAGGATCAAGTCCAAAGAAGAACATTTTACATGCATAATGATAATGCATTGACATGTCAAACATAATTTTCATGAGATTCATTGAGTCCATTTTTAGCAGAGTACTTACTGAGGTAATCGAAAAAATCGGGTGATTTTACTTTGATGAATATCGCCTTCTTGAGCACAAACTTCACTTAGACAATGGCTAGTTAAAATCAGGTACAACATCAGGTTCTTATTTGACATTTTGACAATTTCTATACTAATATGAAAGTGCATTTTCTTAGTTTCAAGAAATAATAATATATGGGTGTTTAATTGTTTATGAAAATAAAATACAAAAGGAAAGAAAGAAAATGATGCTCACCAGCTCCAGAAGAATGCTTGGTGCGCTTGAGTTTCTGAAGCTGAACCTGTGTTTCCATGAAGAGTTTCATCCTCTGATATTCCAAATCCTTAGCGAACTGCATCCTCTACTTTTCCAACTCCACCATTTGTCTCTGTTTCATACCCTTCACTCTCTCATATATCTCATCGAACCTCTGATTGCTTGAGCAAGTTCTCTTTGGCAGCCGGCGTAACAATCGGTGCTGGCTGTTTCTGCGTGACGGATCGGGGGTCGATAGGGTGGGAGGAAATCATCCAGGCCGACGATGGCGGTTTGGTGGCGGCGGATGGCGAGGAGATTTTTTTGAGCGGGAAAGTGTCACCGATGAGGGTGTCGAGGCGGGGGAAGAAAGGCCAGGGGCTGCGGTAGCCGGCGTCGGAATCGGAAACCCTAGCCTTCTCGAGCTTGTACTTATTTTTGAGTGTGTCGATGCGGTTCTTGCACTGGATGTCGGTGCATAATAGTTTCTTGCCAGCGTTGCCGATGTGGAGGTCATTGATGGCGTTGGCGACCTCCTGTCAGTGCTTCTGGTGGAGGTTGTCGCGGTTGAGCTCCAGGTAGTGCTCGCCCCACACCCCAATGAGCATGAACGTCGCCTCCTTGCCCCACACTTAAAAACCCTATAGGTATTGTGTGTTAGCGAGAAAAGAATTCGTGCATCCCTTCTACATCGGTCAATAGGAACCAGATGTGGAATACTTCATAGATGTGGAATACTTCATTTCTACATCATTTTTAGGAAGAACTGAAGTAAATATGTTTATATTTTCTACTTATTTATAAGATTGTCACCGCATATTTTTTTAACATCGTTTTTTGGAGAACTGATGTAAATATGACGACGTTAGATAGTATTTTCCTAGTAGTGGCACCAATGTTCTCAAGTAAAGGAAATACTTAATGGCCTCTAATAATAATGAATTAAAATATATTTTTTAAAATAAAGGTGAGATATGCAAATGCATCATTATAAAATCAAATATTCCAATAATGTTACAGTTGAAGGACGACTATCAATCTTTTGTAGTATGTTCAATAAAATGTAACAAATAGGAAAAGTACAAACAAAGGGAAGATTTAGACCAAAACCCACAATAAATTAAAATTAGCAAAATCTTACGAGGATATGCTTTTTCAGCCTTGAGATTAACTTCAAGCTTGCATGACCAAGCTTCTTGTGCCAGAGCCACTAGTTTTCATAAGATACTAGACAATCAACATTTTGGTTTTCTAGTTCATTAAGCATTATTTTGTACAAGTTATTGCATTTGTTAGCCGAAAATAATATAGATGAATTAGGTTGACTCACAGTACATTTATCTTTGTTGAAGGATACTTCATAACCACTGTCACATAATTGGCTTATGCTCAGCAGGTTATGTGTTAATCCTTTAACATATAAGACTTTATCAATGGAGATGGAGGAATTTATACCTATTTTACCTATCCCCATGATTTGTCTTTTCTAACCTCCACCGAATGTGATGGCCTCTTTTCTTGTTCTTGAGGTCTTGGAACATAGACCTTTCACCCGTCATGTGTCGCAAGCAGCCACTGTCCAGGTACCATGACTGGACACTTATTTTCCTTGTTAAACAGATCTACAACAGATATTATTTCAGTCTTTGGTACCCAAATGGATTTGGGTGCATGAATGTTAGCGCTTGAGGTTTTGGAATACCTCTTCTTGTGCGTGTGACTGCACTTGGACGTATAACGTCGATGCTTCCCATAAGTAGGATATGCAGATGTACTTGATTTGTTTTTTGATTCAGATTCAAAATACCCTAATCCTGATTTATCATTTCCACTTCTAGAGTATTTTAAAAGCTGTTCAAGATTCTTAGTTCCTATGGTGAATTTTGATAAATCTGATTTTAATGATTCATTCTCTTTGTTTAGAAATTTTTCTTCTTCAAGACCTTATCTAATTCTTTCAAAAATTTTGCATTTTCATTTTTGAGTAAAAGGTTTTCTTCAAGTAATTCAGAAATTATTTTCTTCTATTCTCTATATGTTGTAGAAATCTTTGCTAAATTAGACAGAAGTTGATTATATGCATGCTGAAGAGCTTTGAAGTCAGATTCACTAACCTTTTCATCATCAGACTCCAATGATGAGTCTATGTCTGCCATAAGACATATGTTTGCTTCTTCATCATCTTCAGATGATGTCGTGTCCAGGTCTTCCCAAGTGGCCATCATAGCCTTCTTTTTCTTGTGGAGAGTTGGCTTCTTCTTTTCTTTTTCCTTTTCTTTTTCTAGTTCTGGACATTCTATTTTGTAATGTCCTGGTTTCTTGCATTCAAAGCACAATGGTTGTGCCTTGTCTCTTGGAGTTCTGTTGTATTTTCTCCAATGAGACCCTCCTTTTTCTTCATCATAGAGTATATCTTTCTAGACAAAAAGGATATCTCATCATCTGAGTCACATGCCTCTTCATCACCACTCTCATCAGATGCTTCTTTTGCCTTTAAGGCTTTCGAAGATGATGATGTAGGTTTTTTCTTTTGCACACTCAGTGTAATGGACTTTTGTTTTCTTCCTGGTTGATCTTGTTGTAGCTCCATCTCATGGACTTTGAGTAGTCCTATGAGTTCTTCCAATGAGAGCTTTTCGAGATTTTTGGATGCTCTCAGGGCCGTAACCTAGGGTCTCCACTTCCTGGGTAAACTACGAAGTAATTTGTCAATATGATCAAAATTATCATAAGTTCTACCTAGAAATGAGAATTCATTTATAATAGTTTGAAATCTTCCAAACATAGTTTGGATAGATTCATTTTCTTCCATCTTGAAAAGTTCATACTTACGGATCAACAAGCTTAGCTTGTTGCGTTTTACCTCCAAGGATCCCTCGTAGGTTAAAGCTAGGGTATCCCACATTTGTTTGGCACTCTTGAAGTTGTGTACTTTGGTGTACTCTTCCTTAGTTAAAGCACACATGAGTGTGTTTCAAACTTTGGAGTTCAGCACAAATCTTTGTTTTTGTCCATCATTCCAACGTGCCTTGGGTATCTCCCTGCCAACCTCATCGAGCAAAATGTAGTCTCCCTGTTCTACGACCTCCCACATGTCTATATGACATGTATCAAAGAATGAAATCATTCTTTGTTTCCAGTAGTCGTAATTGGTTCCTTTGAAGAGAGGTGGGCGGTTCACTGCTTATCCTTTGTTTTCCATTAATCGTACCCCTGTAGTGTTAGATGCTCAACCCTAGGGGTCAAGCATTGATACCAATTGAAGTTAGCGGAAAAACACGCAGAATGGGGTTGAATGTGTGTGAACGAAGGAGTTTTAAAATCTTTTTGCAAAGAGATTGTTTTTCATCTAATGAGAAAGTTACTTTGAACACTTGAAACTATGCTCAGTTGGTTTAAAAAAAGATTTTTCAGTCTGATGGTTTATCATCTGCTTGAAGAAGAGATTTCTTATAGCTAAAGAGGTTTTTTTCTAAGTAATGAGTTGAACAAATGTATTTTTTGTCTGAAAATGGTTACTGCAAAAAGGATTTAATTAGTGGATGAAGTTTTCAGTGATATAATAGTTAAATAAAATTTCGTCTAAAAATAAATAAAGAGTGCACAAGGTTTTTATATTGGTTCACTCAATCTGAGCTACGTCCAGTCTCTTTCAACTAAGGGTTCCACTAATCACAATGGATTACAAGTATTCTCAACCACTTCTGGTTCGTTAACTTCACTTGTCGACGCTAGTATTCTTAAACCACTTCTAGTTCCCCGAGTATTCTCAACTACTCCCGATTCGTCAACTTCACTTGTCGACGCTAGTATTCTTAAACCACTTCTGATTCTCCAAGTATTCTTTTAGATAGTCTCTTCAGGCTTTACAATGGATGAATGGTTTGAGTGTGTATATAACTCTCATAGAGAGGATATGATAGTTTCTACACTCGCTAAGGTATTCAACCTTAGTTTCACATGGATGTGTATTCTAAATGTGTGTGTTACTCTCACGGAGAGGATAGGATAATTTCAACACTCACTAAGATAAGCTATCTTAGTTTTACACAGATATACAGGACTGTACAAAAAAGGATGTAAGATTACTTTTTACGTTTGCTTTGCTCGTTGCTTCTCTCTACTTAATTTCTCTTTTTTAGTCTTGATATTTATAACCTCTTGACAGATTTGCCCGTTATTTGAATTTCAAAGTGTCCGTTGGCGTGGAGCTTCCCGTTGGTGTAGATAGAGGTTCGTTCATGACTTTATAGATCTTTCATTTAATGAATTTGATCTTGCATTAAATGTTTGCTTGCTGTTTTTATGCTACGTGAAGTATTTTTTGCATTTTGTTTACTTCCATGTCTGACTTCAATCATAGTCTAGGTATATCCGTTATCTTTCCTTCATTCTAGTTGTAGTGGCATTGTCTTTTTCTGAAAAGTAGGTGTACTTCCTTTGACGCACGCAACTTTGACTTGTGGATTCGTGCTTGCCTATTTTCCTTCTTTCTTTTCACAATATTGATGACTCCGTTAGCTTTTTTATGAATGTAGACGATATATGACGTCTTTCGTTGTGACTATTGGACTTCAAACGCTTTTCAATATTCTTCGTTTGTGTCTGGAATTGCATTTTGAGTCTTGAGTAGACTTTGACTTTCCTTTTATCTAGTTTAACCTTTCGTCAGATTTGACGTTTCTTTTTATCTGGTCAGTTGTGAAGATGAAACGTTTTAGTTCCGTCTAGAACATTTCTTCATCTTTTATCCATTTTCTGATGTGCGTGTTGACCTTTGACTGATAGACCATTAGGCTTCATGTGATTGTTTTCTTGATTTAGCCCTTCGTCTCATACTTTAAGATTTCGACTGAAGTATGCATTGTATTGTATTTTTCTTTAGCTCTTGTTAGGCTCAGTCTTGATGCTTGATCAATTCATTTGATGTTTTGCCTGTTCTTATACTTATCTGAAACACTAACATATATGTTAGTAATAACAATATGCATTATATTTGTCATGTTCAAAACCTTGATGGGGATTTCTTTGTTTTCTTTAACATTTTATCCCTTGGGTGTTCTTGCCGAGCCCTTGCCTCGGTCGGTAGCCATTTTTGAACAAAATTTGTGCTTTCGAGTTCTTTTTGCTTGGAATTTTTTCCACATGAGCAATTTCCAGTGCTTGAAAGGCTGTTTCTAAATGAAATGGCTCTCATTCCTCCTAAAATACTAAAGTACCCTTAGGTCTAAAAATAGAAAGAATCGGCCTTTTTACCTTAAAATAAGGCTTAAGTCCTAAAATAAATCCTAAGAGTAATTTTGTCCCATAATACAAAGGCTAAATAAAAATACAAAAATAAAATCCTAATATCTAATGTACCCCAAAATACAAGGGAAAAATAGGAAAAGAAAGCAACAAATTGAGGAGAGGGCTCAAATTCCACACACATGATGATCATGGCCTTTGGTGTGGTGTGTTCTTCATCTTCCTCTACTCTCCTAGCCATGGACCTTGTGATAGGCCCTATATGATGCTTCGAGGATGGTCCTCCATAATCCCCTTCTTCTTGATAAGGATTTGACCTCAAGTCGTCATCCTCATCCATGTCATTAGTCCCTATAAAAGGTGTAAGATCACAAACATCAAAAGAGGAACTGACTCCATAATCAGAGGGAGTGTCTTGAATGTATGCATTGTCACTAATCCTTTTCAGAACTTGGAAAGGGCCATCCCCCCTAGGGTTTAGTTTGGACTTCCTTTGAGTAGGGAATCT